GGTACATTGAAGTACTATTACTCACTGTGTTGTGTCGGTGCACTTCCTTTTGAGGCGTTTCCTACACACACGAAAAATCACATTAGTCCCTTTTATCCTTGTTAAATCATCATTCGGTTCACTTACTTTAATTGAATTAACGAACTTTCAAACAATATAAATTGCAGGTTTTGACAACATTAGAGGACCCAACACGCAAAACGGAGCATCCCAATTTTTCTGACTTGAGCCGCACGTGCGGCTAGGATCTCCCGCACGTGTGGCACACCTCCCGCACGTGCGGCATTGAGGCCCCGCGCGTGCTTTTTTTGCAGTGTTGAAGTCCAAAATTTTGCCATTTTCCCGCACATGCGGCAGTGACTCCCGCACGTGTGGCTGAGGTTCCCGCACGTGTGGCTGAGGTTCCCGCACGTGCGGCGATTCTGCACCAAAAGTCCGAAATTTCTGCATAATTTCTTCCCCTTATAGACATGTTTAGGGCCTCAAAATCCAGCTTTAAATTACCAATATATAAGCTCAAAGCATATGAATACATGTGAACAAGGATCAAATTACATATTTCATTTGAGTAAAAATCAAATCATGAATCCACAACTTAAATTCACTCTCATTCACAAAGTTTCTACTTGTTCTCACATCTCAACTCATAAACATAAAATCATGCCACATACTTGAATTCAAACAAGTCAATTGAAGAAATAGAGTAAAGTTTCTCATAGATACTTCAAATTGAGTCAAAACATGCAAGGTAAGATCATCTTGCTAATTTACTACTTCTCATACTCACATCACTACAATCCCAACTCTTAGGTACATGATTATAGAAACATCTTCACATAAATTATGACAAGAAGGGTTGTGGATGAAAATTAGACAAACATTTACATACCTTAAGCCCAAATCTCAACCTTCTTGAGGACCTTCTCTCTCTACCCCCTTCAATTCTTAAGTTTAGAGTTATATTTCCTTAGCTTGTCAAATGACCAAGAACACTCATATATTTCCATAAAGAGAGAATGAGACGAAAATCAATCGTTTACACAACCGAAAATTGAAATTTCACAGAAGTGCTTAATATTACCTAAAAATTATGATGGTTCCAAATATGTGAGCAATTTTGACTTATTAAGTCGCTAAGGCCCTCAATTTCTACTCTATCGTTCTAGTAGTAACAGATACATTTCTTTTCTAACAGATACAATTCATTCCACAAGGCATTACAACATAGTTACTTGAACTTATTTTCTTGTACAGTTTCATCTTAGACATTTAACAGCACAGAATAAAGGACGAACATTTATCACAAGCATATATGAGGGTCGGGTTGTTACACTCTCCCCCCCTTAAAAAAGTTTGGTCCCTCAAACTTGCTTTTACCTCAAAACGGAAACAGACATGGATACTATTGCTGCATATCCTCCTCTTTTTCCCAAGTAGCTTCAGTGCCATAATGTTCTTGCCACTCTACCTTTACCATTGGAATTTCCCGATTGCGCAATTGTTTTACTTGTCGCTCTAAAACTCGAAGTGGTCTTTCTTCATAGCTTAACTTATCATCTAGCACAAGTTGGTGATAGTCTATGACATGAGATGGATCTGATAGGTATCCTCGAAGCATAGAAACATGGAACACATTATGTATTTGACTCATACTCGGCGGAAGAGCCACTCGGTAAGCTACCAAACCCACTCTTTCTAGAATTTGGAAAGGGCCAACATACCGGGGCGTTAATTTACCCTTTTTCCCAAATCTCAGATGTCCCTTTAACAGGGGTGACTTTCACGAACACATAACTACCCACTTCAAATTCCAAATCCCTTCGTCTGTTATCTGCATAGCTCTTCTGCCTGCTTTGTGCCGTTTTTAACCTCTCCCGGATAATTTTAACCTTTTCAGTTGTTAATTGCACAATTTCAGGACCCAACAATGCCCTATCCCCGACTTCAGACCAACATACAAGGGAACGACATGGTCTTCCATACAGAGCTTCATAAGGTGCCATCTCAATGCTCGAATGGTAACTGTTATTGTAGGCGAACTCTATCAATGGTAGATGGGTTTCCCAGCTTTCTTGAAAATCCAATACACACAATCGGAGCATATCTTCTAAAGTTTGTATGGTTCTCTCGGATTGACCATCAGTTTGAGGGTGAAAAGCGGTGCTGAACGTAAGTTCGGTACCCATAGCCTCCTGTAAACTTTGCCAAAATCTTGAAACAAATTTGGGGTCCCTATCTGACACAATTGACACTGGAACACCATGAAGCCTTACAATTTCATTTATATACAGTATTGCTAGCTTATCCACATTATATTGAGTCTTCACAGGCAAGAAGTGAGCAGACTTGGTTAATCGGTCCACAATGACCCAAATCGAATTCATACCTCGAGGAGTCCTCGGTAACCCCACAACGAAATCCATGGTCAAATGCTCCCATTTCCATTCCGGGATTGGAAGGGGTTGTAATAATCCTGCTGGTCTTTGATATTCCGCTTTGACTTGTTGACATTGTAGACACTTAGAAACAAATTCCGCGATCTCCTTTTTCATATTTGGCCACCAAAAATTTTGTTTTAAGTCTCGGTACATTTTAGTACTTCCCGGGTGTATTGATGATCTCGAAGCATGTGCTTCTCCTAGCAACTTCCGTTTAAGCTCCAACACATTGGGGAGACATATTCGACTTTGAAACTTTAGTACCGAATCTACGTAGCTGAATCCCGATGTTGGTTTTGCCTCTAACTCTTCATAGATTTTCCTTAAAGTCTCGTCTTCCAGTTGATGTAACTTAATCTCTTCCAGCAAGGTGGGTTGAGCTCTTACTGCTGCTAGTATGGCCTCCTGTTCACGTACCACCAGGTTCATATTCATTTTATCCAGTTCGTTCCTCAACTCCTTTCTTTCTATCAACAGATTTGCCAAATCCCCCATATTCTTCCGACTAAGTGCATCTGCCACCATGTTAGCTTTACCAGGATGATATTGGATCTGCAAGTCATAATCCTTAATCAACTCAAGCCACCACCGTTGTCGCATGTTCAACTCTTTCTTGGTAAACAGGTACTTGAGGCTTTTATGATCAGTGTAAACTTCACAGGTTGTACCATAAAGATAGTGCCGTCATATTTTTAAAGCAAAAACTACTGCCGCTAATTCGAGATCGTGTGTGGGATAATTCTTCTCGTGGGGTTTCAGTTGCCGAGAAGCATAGGCAATAACCCTTCCATTTTGCATTAGCACACAACCAAGCCCCTTGTGCGAAGCATCACTGTAAATTACGAATCCTTTGGTACCAGATGGCAAAGCCAGAACTGGGGATGTCGTCAATCTTGTTTTTAATTCTTGGAAAGCGGATTCCCGTTCCTCTGACCATTCGAATGCAACTTCTTTTCGTGTCAGTTGGGTAAGTGGCACAGCAATTTTGGAGAAATTTTGAACAAACCTCCTGTAATATCCAGCTAATCCCATGAAACTTCGTATCTCAGTTATATTAGTGGGAGTTGGCCAATTCACAATTGCTTCAACTTTGTGTGGATCAACAGAGACTCCTTCCTTTGTCACCACATGCCCCAAAAACGTCACTTCTTGTAGCCAGAATTCACATTTCTTTAACTTTGCATACAGTTTCTTCTCCCGGAGTGTTTGAAGAATTTGGCGAAGATGATTCTCATGAGCTTCTACACTCTTCGAGTATATAAGGATGTCATCAATAAAAACCACCACAAACTCGTCTAGATAGGGCTTGAAGATGCGATTCATTAGATCCATAAATGCTGCTGGTGCATTTGTAACTCCGAAGGGCATAACCAAAAATTCATAATGGCCGTACCGGGTTCGAAAAGCTGTCTTCGCCACATCATCGGCTTTAACTTTCAATTGATGGTAGCCAGACCGTAAATCAATTTTTGAGAAAACTTGTGCCCCTTGTAACTGATCAAATAGGTCATCTATCCGTGGTAAGGGGTACTTATTTTTAATTGTCACCTTATTCAGCTCCCTATAGTCGATACATAACCGAAGTGTTCCGTCCTTCTTTTTCACAAACAATACCGGCGCACCCCAAGGAGATACACTCGGGCGGATAAATTCCTTGTCAAGCAAATCCTGTAATTGAACCTTTAACTCTTTCATTTCAGCCGGTGACATCCTATAGGGTGTCTTCGAAATGGGTTGGGTTCCAGGCGCCACTTCAATTATAAACTCGATTTCTCGGTCTATTAGTTGGCCCGGCAATTCTTCGGGAAAAACATCCGGAAACTCACGGACCACTGGGATCACATCAACATCCCCATTCATCCTTTGCCCTTCCAAAACACTACATAAATACCCTTGACAGCCTTTTCGTATTAAGTTGCAAGCCTTCACGGCAGATATCAGAGAAGGTGGCGAAATCACTTCCCGCCCTTGGACCATAGACTCTGCTTGCCCCGGAGGATAGAAATTAATTTGCTTAGTCACACAGTTTATAGTTGCACCATAAGCACTTAGCCAATCCATCCCCAGAACAACATCAAAGTAGGTCATATCGAGAGGCACTAAATTAGCATACACCCGAATATCCCCAAGTTGAAGTTCACAAGCTAGGTATATAGTAGCACAAAGCATAGACTCTCCCAAGGGGGAGGACACACACAACATGTAAGGTAAGTTTTCTTCCATTTTATCTAATTTAGGAGCGAAAAGTTTCGACACAAAAGAGTGAGTGGAGCCAGAATCAAACAATACATGCGCAGATTGACCATAAATAGTAAATGTACCTGACACCACTGTTGCTGTGTTTTGCACATCACCTGGAACCTAAGCGAACACCCTACCTTGTCTTGCAGTGTCTTTGTTATTACTTGGTTTGGCAGCCACCTTCGCATTGGGGGTTAGTGTAGACCCCGCGGAACTTGTAGCGAATCTATTGCCTTTTTGTTGAGCCCATTGTGGGCAATCCCTTACCAAATGTCCCGTGTTTCCACATTTAAAACATGCTCCAGTCTTCCAGTGACAAGTTCATCGATGTTGCCTTCCACAATCTGGACACACCGGAGTGGAATTTTGAGTAGAAGTAGTGGTGCTGAAGTTCCCTGAATTGTGCTTCTTAGCGGGTGGAGTAACGGATCTCTTTGACCATTGGTTGTTTTGTCTCTTCCCTTTCCACTCGGAAATCCGATTCTGGGCCGCAAGGTTTCCTTCTGCGATAACAGCCCTTTCTAGCACCTCAACATATGTGGGTAATTTTAGCATATTGACCCAGTCTAAAATAGCACCCCGCAATCCCCCTTCAAATTTCCGTGCCTTCTTATAGTCTGTATCTACCATATGAGGTCCAAACCGAGCTAATTCAGCAAATTGGGCCTCATATTCTGCAACAGTCTTATTTCCTTGTCTAAGAGTCTCAAATTCCGTCACCTTCTTATCTCGCATGCTTTGAGGAAAATACTTATCATAGAACAGCTCCAGAAATCTACCCCATGTTAAGTCCTGATGCACTGTTCTTGTAAGCATCCACCATCTTCGCGCCTCATCTTCAAGAGTAAAGGCAGCAAGTTGCACTTTCTGGGCTTCAGTACATGGAAATACTTCGAACAATTTCTCTATTCCCAGCACCCATGCTTCTGCTTTCATAGGTTCTATTCCCCCCTTAAATGACGGTGGTTTCATCTTTTTAAACTCCTTTGTGAGTGTGATGGTTTGGTCCTCAACATGAACATCTTGTACTGCAGGTAGAGGTACTGGTGGTGGTGGTGGTTGTTGCTGTTGTTGCCTTAGGGTCTCCGCCATGTCCATAATCATTCTTTCCATTCGGTCCAACCGTGCCGAGGTAGCCTCGTCTGAATCTTCCACCCTTGTTCTCACCATAACCTACATAACATTCAATTTTATCCGGCAAACAAAGTTCAAATTGTTAGCGTTAGCAGAGTACATTCTACGTTGCCATCGATCTTTCATACGTTTTTAGGATGCCATGCATGATGCTTAAGTCTTTTCTAGACATCCTAAGGCTCAATGGATCTGTGTGTGGGATAGCAACTCGTGCTCTGATACCACTTGTCACGCCCCTAACTTGCCCCTAAAAGTTTTGGCATGACCTAAGCAGAAAAGGACACTTACCCTGGTTCCAAAGAGGGGCCTGACCGGAAGCTGTAATAATAAGTGATATAAACCAAAAAAATATGACATCCATTGAGCTACTAAGTCATGCCAGGATCATAAACATTTTGTAGGACAAGTACACCAAAAGCCAAAATACATTTGAGAGTTAGTTATTTACAGGCATATACAAATCCAACCCCGAGGTGGGGTATATAACAAAATCATTAAGTACATAATAACTTAAGCCAATAGCAAAAGTGTAGGCCATTATCTAGCAACTTCACAAAAGTAGGGTCCCGACCCCAAACTTGGCTGTGCCTAGGCTGACAAAAGTATGACGATGCCGAGCTAAGATCGACCTCCTGGTTGATCACCTACAGAAACAGGCATAACACAGGGTGAGCCAAGCTCAGTGAACAATAGTACTGGTATGCTTGTAACATAATTAATGCTGAAATCATGTAATCAGTCTGTCTCTGTATAGCATGTTGGGACAACATAATCGGTTTATAATTGTCATAATGTGGCCCCTGGCCTAAGAACTTCACATATTCAGAAAGGGTCCTTAGGTTCATAATGTACAATCCATCACATAGCCCTTTGGTTCTTTTTGATTCACAAGCTTACTATAGTATCATTCATATTTCACACATCGGCCCTTGGCCTCATGATTTCATTGTTCACAGATGGCCCTTGGCCACATTGATTCACAATTCACAATTGACCCTTGGTCACGTAGTTTCACATTAGGGCTCGTAGCCACATTGATTCACAAATGGCTCTAAGCCACATTGATTCACAAATGGCTCTAAGCCACATTGGTTCACGAGTTCACAATTTCCTTGATACGTTTCATTAGTCACAAGCTTTCACATAAGATGTGTGCAACTTCACAACCTTTTTCAATGTTTCCACAATTTCGTATTGAATCACTTATAGCAAATATATCATTTCATGCCAACACAAATTTGATAGTGAAGTTTGTAACGTCAAGATATAACGTCAATACCTAATATGACAATACTTTCAACAAGGGTCACAATGTTAATAAAAATAAATACTGAGTAGAGGTACATTGAAGTACTATTACTCACTGTGTTGTGTCGATGCACTTCCTTTTGAGGCGTTTCCTACACATACGAAAAATCACATTAGTCCCTTTTATCCTTGTTAAATCATCATTCGGTTCACTTACTTTAATTGAATTAACGAACTTTCAAACAATATAAATTGCAGGTTTTGACAACATTAGAGGACCCAACACGCAAAACGGAGCATCCCAATTTTTTTGACTTGAGCCGCACGTGCGGCTAGGATCTCCCGCACGTGTGGCACACCTCCCGCACGTGCGGCATTGAGGCCCCGCACGTGCTTTTTATGCAGTGTTGAAGTCCAAAATTTTGCCATTTTCCCGCACGTGCGGCAGTGACTCCCGCACGTGCGGCTGAGGTTCCCGCACGTGCGGCCTTAGGCCCCGCACGTGCGGCAATTCTGCACCAAAAGTCTGAAATTTCTGCATAATTTCTTCCCCTTGTAGACATGTTTAGGGCCTCAAAATCCAGCTTTAAATTACCAATATATAAGCTCAAAGCATATGAATACATGTGAACAAGGATCAAATTACATATTTCATTTGAGTAAAAATCAAATCATGAATCCACAACTTAAATTCACTCACATTCACAAGGTTTCTACTTGTTCTCACATCTCAACTCATAAACATAAAATCATGCCACATACTTGAATTCAAACAAGTCAATTGAAGAAATAGAGTAAAGTTTCTCATAGATACTTCAAATTGAGTCAAAACATGCAAGGTAAGATCATCTTGCTAATTTACTACTTCTCATACTCACATCACTACAATCCCAACTCTTAGGTACATGATTATAGAAACATCTTCACATAAATTATGACAAGAAGGGTTGTGAATGAAAATTAGACAAACATTTACATACCTTAAGCCCAAATCTCAACCTTCTTGAGGACCTTCTCTCTCTACCCCCTTCAATTCTTAAGTTTAGAGTTATATTTCCTTAGCTTGTCAAATGACCAAGAACACTCATATATTTCCATAAAGAGAGAATGAGACGATAATCAATCGTTTACACATCCGAAAATTGAAATTTCACAGAAGTGCTTAATATTACCTAAAAATTATGCTGGTTCCAAATATGTGAGCAATTTTGACTTATTAAGCCGCTAAGGCCCTCAATTTCTACTCTATCGTTCTAGTAGTAACAGATACATTTCTTTTCTAACGGATACAATTCATTCCACAAGGCATTACAACATAGTTACTTGAACTTATTTTCTTGTATAGTTTCATCTTAGACATTTAACAGCACAGAATAAAGGACGAACATATATCACAAGCATATATGAGGGTCGGGTTGTTACAATTTAGGAAACCCTAACTCGGTGCCAAAGGCCACGTGTCCGTCATCACCAAAGTTGCCTCGGCTCGGGAGCTTGGGTACGATTGAGGAAGGTCAGCTATGAGCACCCCCTCTCGTCCGATCCGAAGATCGGCCTCTACTAACCGTGATATCCGTTTTTGAAAACGTTATGTGTTCTTATTCCGGTTATTAGCCTAGGATTACTATGTCATGCGCACAGCAACAAGTATAGACCAAATCGCCTAGGTTGGAACGAAACATTGCATATCCGTTTGTTCGGAAAACAATTTGAAATTTGCTACTCGTAAGTAGGTTAAAAAACACGGATTTCAATGAGTTGTTCCAACTCAAACAATCCAACCTTCACCCACAGGCATTCAAGCAGTAATATCATATAAACATATAGCCGCATGGCAAGTATACTGTCATGTTAACATTCACACTCATGCGAGATGCTAAAGCATAAATACTTACATCGTACTCTGTGCCAAAACAAAGAACTCGTTAACAATCAATGCATGATCCAAGTCCATGTTTAAATGCCTAATGCAACGCATACGGAATGTCACTAGAGCAGGCTCGGCTAGTCTATGAATGACATGTGAAAATGCACAGGTAGCATGTATTCAAGTTAGATTTGAAATACTAATGCTGTTAGCATGATGCGCCGAGCCCGGTGCATGTAATACTGATGAATGATGCACGCATGCATAGCATAAGGTATGCTAAATTAAACATGACCTATTACTAACCATCAAAGCAGGTAAGTAAAAGGGAGAAAGAAGTGGGGGTTGGAAGACATGCACACACTCACCCACACTTATTACAAATTCGCCCTCGCTCGGAGGGACCGAACGAATAATACAAATTAACTAACTCGCAAGCTAATTAATTATTACAAATTACCTAATTAATTAACAAATTAACTAAGCTAAGAAAAACAATAAAAAAGGGGCCTCGGGAGAGGGTCCAATGCACGCATGCTCAGGTCTTGCTCGGAAGTCCAGTGCCATGCACAAGCCGCCTCTGTTTTCCCTGCTCTGCTTCTCTGAAGACTGCCAAAGTCTCAGGATGTGCTCACTGGATGTTGGGGAATGCCACCGGCTAGAGGGAATCATCATCGGCTGTGATTTGGTGTCGATCAGCCAAAAATGAATCCATCGGCCACAGATGGATTGCCAGTCGGCACTCTGTGCAGTCGATCGGCAAAAAGTTCCTGCAGAATCTATTTGACAGCAGTAGAGGACAGAGCTTTGTATGGCAATGTAATTCAAGCAATGTATGCACCAACCATATCCCTTATCATGTTTATGACTCAAAGGGACATGGTCCTTGGTTCTCGGTCCATAAATTGCGCATTTCAATGCGTGATGGCCCAAGAGACCAAGTTATGCATGTTGATTTCAAATGCAATGCAAACCAACAAACAAAGGCCCAACTCCCATCACTAAATCAAGGAACAAGGCATGCATGCTAGATGGAGTGCAACCTAGGCATGTGAACTAGCATGCAACATGGGCACACAATGCATTTATGCAAGTATGCAAGCAAATGTGCAAGGTAAGCATGCCAACAAGCAAAGGATGGACTTAAGCTCGTTTGGGCAGCCCTTGAGGAAGCCCAAAACAGTGGCCATCAACCAAGGAAATGAGGCCAAATCACATGCAAGCATACATGACAACATGGACCAACATTTAAGACATAAAGGCAACTTTTAAGCGCACTTTAAAAGAGGCATAGCATGGACAATTAACATGCAAATGAAGCTCTGAAAATCAAGCTATAGGAGGTGCCAAACCAACTAAACAAAGCAAGCAAAACATGCCACAATGGCCCAAGTGCTTAAGACAAGCCAAGGAGGCTTAAACCAAGGTCAAGTCCACCAAACCTCACAAGGCTAAGGGGACTTAAAACAAGTCAAATGCAGACTTAAACAAAGCCAAGGGTGCACTTAGATGGCATTTAAGTGGTCTAAAAGTGCAAGCATACTCCGAGGCCCAAACAAGGGGCATAAGGTAACAACGTTTAAACACATTGAAGGAGGATTAAATGCAAGCATATAAGCATGTCACAAGGACTGAGATAACATGTTAAGCGGTTCCAAACCATTGAAATGATACAAACAAGGCATGCTACACACTTATATACTTAAGGCCAACAAGCCCAAAATGCAAAGGGGGCATGCAATGCAAGCTATGGTCGACCAAAACAGCCAAGGACAGACCTTAAACATGGCAAAATAAACATGAAAGCTTCACAAAGCTAGGCCTAAAGTATGCTTGAACAAGG